CGATACGAGACGCGGTGTTGTTTGTCATTTTTGGAAGGGTGTTGCGTCATGGTGTTGATTTCATCATCTGTTTCTCTGATGACTTTTTCCTTCTGTAAGTATGTTTGCATGTGTGGTTACAGTATGTGAGTGTGTTTCCTGGTGTGGTGGTTCTGCTGGTCCAGTCACCATTGTAAGGATACAAGTTGAAAACTACACCGTGTTGTTGTTTTTTGTGTACTGTGAGCTTTGAACTAACAAACAGGTTAATTATTATTATTATTGTTATTATATTTTATACAGATGTTTGTATTGTTGTTTTAGGTATGATAGTGCTTTGAGCCTGCTGCCAAAGAGTTTTATGTATGTTTGTTGTAAGTTATGTGCCGACAATCACGGTCATGTCAAGCTGTACACAACCAACCAAGTGTTGACTTAAAACAGACATTTCTGTGAACTTCAAACAATATGAAGGCTTTTCCAGTTGAATTCATGCAACATTTCATAAAGCAATAAAATATTCTAATATACATTAACTCGTTGACTTGAGAATTGTTTCATTTGCAAAAAAATGTTTGTAATTGTTTAAAAAAAAAGTCTATTCCAGTAAATGTTGTCTTCCTGTTTCCTCTCACATTGTCACCTTACCTCCTCATTCCTGTGCACTTGTTCCGCCACAGAGAAGAGGGCTCTTCATTAATGAATACCAGAGCTGCATTCTTTTGGGTTCAACTTTCTCGGGTGGCCTGCTCTCTTGTTCTCTTCTTGCCATGGAGAGCGTGCTTGACATAGATCGCATTCTCATAGGGACACGTAACCCTACAAGTGACAAAGACAGGTTTCTCCCAGATTAGCCTCTAATGCCTTTTGAAATGCCTGTGAGCCTCCATCAACCTTTGCTGACATGTGCTGCGCTCCTAAACCCTTTTAATCGCCTCCGATTGAGCTCGCACCCAGAGGTGTTTATGAATTATTTCAGGATGTGCCCGTGGCATGTGAAGATGAGAGAATGGACAGCTCTGTTATGTGGTGTCCGTTTCAGGATGGATCTCTCTCACTCTCACTCTCACTCACTCACTCACACACACACACACACATAGCGCCACAGATGTCAACTTGTACCAGTTTGGGGCGGTTGTGCAGCGCTGACAATGAGACTTCACAATGCAGCAGGACAATGACAATGAACGCTTTAGTGTCATCAGAGGTCCACTGAGAGGTTTTAGCAGTTGTCGTTCTGAGTGCAACGTGTGTGAAATCTGAAATATGGCTGTGGTAGAGAAGATTTCACACATTTTAATTCATAAATGTGGAGCAATGAGTAGTGTGACTTCTTGGTTCCATATTTGGTTCGGTTTGTTACGATGAAAACACGACACACTACTGTATTTGCTTGCTTTATTCCCCAAATGTTTTGGGCCATCTTGATTGTTTTGGTTTAATACCTTTACAAAATGCAACAGTATCACTTTCTAAAACAGGCTCCCTTATCGAGTTGTAACTAATGTATTTAAGTTAAACAAATTACCAATTGATCAGTTATAAGCCAATAATAATAAACTAGAAAAGGCTACTTGATGGCTTAATGGAAAATGAGAAATCCATGAGCATTGATACATTTATTACCACCATTTAGTAGATTATTACCACATAGAAAGTATAAACCCCAAGACAATTGGATTTTTTTTTACAATGTTCAACTACATTGCTTTTACTAATGCTTGCAATCATTATAAGTGATTAGCCCTCATCATACCAGCTGGGGTCCCTGCAGACCCCAGCTGGTATGCTTGTTCTCATATCTCACAGGTGCTCAGTCAGTTTGTTCCCAATGACTTCACATCGGTGTTTTCTGTTTTAATGAGTGCTTTTAAAAATGTACCAATGTATTGAGGTTCTGGGGGAACCCAGTCAACAGCAGCAATAGAGACTATAGAATAGATGGATAAAATGTTTGCCATGGGTCCTATTTTAAAGTATCACACACTATCAGCCATTTTGAAAGAGACAGACATACATGAGACATACCTCATGTGCTCTGTCGATAAATTAACTGTAGTTTTCCTAAAATAATGTTTATCTGTTTATATTTTCTTCAGATAACATTCATTACACAACTATTCCTGTTTTGAGAAGAAATGAGATGAAATTGGCTGTGATGTTTCTTACATTACTGTATTCCTCTTGGGCAGTAGTCATTGAATGTTGAATGTGTGTGTAGGATGTGTTTTCACAATCCACTAACTTTGCCAAGCATCCTCTCTGCTGAAGTGTCCTTGAGCAAGACACTGAATCTCAACAGTTCCAGAGGTGCTGATTCAGTGCTCTGACCTCCCCGTGGAGGGAGGAAGTAAAACACTGAATGTCTCTGTTACTACATCACAATAGTGTTACACCGGTTGAGACATAAGTTAAACGAGGGCATAAAGTTGTGTGCACATCCACATCCAAGCTTAGCGGGAATCGAAGGCGAGCATCAAAACATCACAGGAGTACAAGAGAAAAGTATCCGCACGCTGCAATTTGACCTTGTTGGTGATGTTTTTCGACCCAACACAACTCAACAACCTGCGTTGGGTTGAAATGTTGCCAGTGAGGGAGCTTTCAGTCCAGTGGGATGGTGCTTTTATCTTCACATACTAAAACATGACAGGTATGTCAAAGAAGGAAAACAGTGCTGGGTGCTTCTGACAGAGAAGCTTGTGTGTGAAAACACAGATCAGGACTGGGTGGTATGCCATCAATCTTATTTATGAACTCAGAGCTCTTATCTGGCGTAATGACTGACAACATTGTGAGGTCTCGCCAACATTCCTCCGTGAATGTGAATGGCAGCTAACGTGTTTCGACTGCAGCTCTCTCTCGTTCCCAGAGTTCATAGGATGAAGGAGGATAGAACGTAAATGGGAGTCAGGGGTCAAATTCCTGTTCTGCTCAATCAACCAGGAATATTTAATTCTCTACACTTTTTGGAACGGTATTCCCCTCCTTCCTCGGGCTCCGTCACATGGGAGCTTCATATTGACAGTGATCACCATGAAAGGAACGGGTTTGTTGCTGTGTAAACCGTGGAAATGATCTCCTCACACTGGCTGTTTGTGTGCACTGACGGGTTCATTGCCCCCTCCTGATGTTTACAGTTTAACAGCACATTCCTACCGAGCATCAGCCTTTGAAGTTTCAACACACTCAGCAAATATGCTGTGAATGATGATATCAAAGTAAGTAAAGTAAGTAAATTAAGGCAAAGTAAAGCAACTGGCATGCAGACTGTCCTGGACTCACATTGGTGTGGTAATTCAGTATGTCAATCCACAAAAGCCCAATCATTTCGCTCTCTTGTCGGAAGGCCCTTTATGTTTTTGGATATTAGTTATATGTGTGTCTTGCCCAGAGGGGCACAGGAGAGTAACTTGTCACCACCTGCTACACACAAGCCTGCAGTTTTGAGTGGCATTCCTGTTTGTTATTAAGGGGCCTTATGTTTGAAACCACAGACATGACCCTGAGCACATGTTTCAGCCACAGTGAAAAGTTAGTGCTGTAAGATGTGATGCCAGGCCAGAGTGTCTACTGATTTTCAAAAGAAAGATTCCAAAAAACATTTTACCGAAGAGTTTAAAATATGGCCATGTGATTGCTCATACGTGCAGACTAATTATACATTTGGGGATTCTTAAGAAGTTGTTCATCTGTTGAAAATCATCTGTATGGAACATTTAAGAAACTTGTATTACTAGACATGTACATGATGCACAATGTGTCAATAACTGGACTATGTTTTGACCTCCTGACAAATGCCCTTAGAGACAATAAATAGTTATAAGAATTCAATGACTCTTAGTGGATTTTTCACACTTACAGATCCTCTGAGACACTAAACATGAGGCAAGCACTGAATGCTGCACCTTCTCAAAAACATGTGTTCTTCATTCTTTGTCTTGGGGGGGGATTAGATCTGTTAACTGCTTTACAAAGTTACTCACACATGCACGCACACACACACACACACACACACACACACACACACACACACACACA